TTATTATCATTATTATTATTAACACGGAAGCGCTTATGATAAAGATCCCGATAACAATGACAATGATTATGACGAGGAGGAGCAGGAGGAAGAGGAAGAGGATAATAATGATGAGACTACTACTGTTGATAAGTACTGATTACAAATAAGGTGGATGTACATAGAGTTCGGCTGTCCTGGTGGAGACGAGCCATAAGGTGCTATAATCCCTGTTGAATGGAGAATTATCCGCAATATTATGTATTAGTTGTTTCCAATCGGTCACAGAAGAGTATACTGTTGGAACCAAATATGCATACAGTGGACCTTCACAGCAACTGCCAGCTCAGAAAGTGTTTTGGAAACCCAACAACAGGACCAGTTTTGTTAACCCTGCATTCTGCTTACCTGTGACGGCCAAATTGCCGTCCTGACTAATGGAAACAGCAAGTACGACAGCCTTCAGAACAGATCTGCTTTCACTGGAGCGAAGTGGGATTCCGGTGATCCGATGAGGACTCAGCCCTCCAGGGGGCCTACTTTCTGGCCCTCGGGATTCGCGGCGGCTTCGTACAACTGGTCGACAGAGATCAAAAGGCAGAAGATCCACCTTCAGGCCAGTCTGATCAAGAAGAATAGAGGGTTTTGACAAGTGGGCAAGAGAGACCGTTTATATGGTCTATTTAACGCTCCAATTTGACGAAAATGAATACGAAATGATCTACCTTAAAGACGGATATCAAGTGGTGGCCATCAGAAGTGAGCAAAGATGTCAGAAGTTCGTGGTTCTGAGCAGCCTTCATATCGTTCGGTTTTCGAAGGCCCAAAGAAGAAGTAATAATTGAAAAGAAAAATAATTTAAGAAACTTTCTCGAGATTGAGCAAGGCTAATTAGAGTAAAAAAATATATACTTAAACTTCAAGTCTTGGCAACATTTATTTCAGTAAGGAGTGCACACAGGAGGCCTCAACAGATGCATAATAAGAGCATACACGACACATCCTCGGGAATCTGGTAGTTTTACCGTTTTTGCATGGTGATACAGTAACTGATAGTGATTCTATTTGCATTTAAATGAAGAGGAGGCCAATGTAAGCACTGGAATTATCCCAAACGGCAGTATTCATCAGGTGAAAGTGTTTGGTGAAGAGGTTCAAAGGTCGATTCCACCAGAAGACGACGGCAGATTCCTCTTGACCAGCTGTTGATCGGCTTTACTGGAACATTTATGTCGACACTGCTTGCCAGTAATCTCCGTCGAGTCGGGTGAAAACGTGTTTAGCTCACATCCGTCGTGAAAATGCGACTCACTACCTCGAATATGGGTGTAAGGTTGACATACTTTGATCGGATCATGACCATCACACGACGAACGAGAGCTTAGCGCATTTTCACCGGAATCGAAGGAGATTGCCTCAGAAACAGCATCAACATCGACAGCTGGTCAAGAGGAATCTGCCGTCGTCTTCTGGTGGAATCGACCATGGAACCTCTTCACCGCACACTTTCACTCGAAATGGAAGTAAGCTGAACAATTATGAAACAAGACATTGCTCAAAATCCAACTTTTCTTCTAATTTATTCAGTTGTCACCCTGCCTCAGATCTCTGTCAATTCGACTCTTGGATATGTTGGTTCAGGGGCACATGTGTGGCCGTCTAGGCTACATGACCCCTGAACTTTTCTATTACACGACAAGCATGACTTTCAAGGCGTCGCATGCGACAAGTTGAGACGCAAACTAGAGTCTAATCTTGGCATAGTTTTAGGTAGAATCGCAATCAAAAAGAAGATGCCGAAAATGCAACGCCTTGGAATAGAGAAGTTGTGTAAGTGAATCCCGACGTTTCGAGCTAACTGGAGCAAGAAGCAACTGAGGCTGATGTTTAGCAGGACCAATTGTAACTCACAAAAGGAGCAAGAATAAATCTTGGAGCTAAATCTGAGAAGAGAATGACCAAGCTGAGGAACTGGACGGCGATTAGAGAAGATAATTGCTTTCTTAACTACTTTGCCCACAGATTTGCTCAGGGAGCCAGTTGAAACAAATAAGAATGTTCACATTTTATACAAGCCATATTTGACAGACTATTTGGTTTTCCAATTGTTTCAGGCAGGGTTAAGGCTCGTGGACGTGGGGTTCAGCCAAATGACCCCTCAATTCACAGACAGATTCGAATGCAATAGCGAAAAAATGAGTTCAAACCAACAAAAACTTCAGACTTACCCGCTGCCCGTCTTCATTTGGTGGATCTATTTCCTCTCGTCTGAGCTTTTCATAAATGCTGAAAACGTGAGTTCGATTATCGTCACTCGCAACATAGACGTCGCCAGAGCTTGGGTGTATGTGTAGATCTAAAATCTAGCAAAATACTTACGATAATAAGTATTATTGGTATTATACGGATAAAATGCTAAAATTTTTCAAGGCGTTCACACTAATCAAACTAATTTTATCTCTTTAATCCTGGAACCAGAGTAAAGAAGAGATAAAAATACTGTGGAATCGTCGAGATTTTAGGCTCGGACCGCTGAAAATTATCATGATTACTTTGGCAGAGGACTCCAGCCAGACTAAGCCCTTTGACGTCGCCTTGACAACATTACCAAATTGGGAAAAAAAGTCATGAGATGTATTCACCCTATTTCGTCTAAGGTGATTAAGGACTGGAAGTAGATTTTTCCCACAATGATATAAGTTGAGCTGACTTATCCATTAAATTTCACAGAGCCTTGCTTTCCCAAAAGTTGTTCTCATCCAGGCACCAGTGGACTGCAGTTTCGACCTCACATTGGTCTTATCAGACACCCTCAGCGGGATTCGAACCGCGACAGTACAGGACGGTAGCTTGACACGCTAACCACTCGGCTACACTCCACGAGTACCCTTGAGTCACAGGGCATAAGTGAGTTTCAAGGAGAGTCAGGCCTCTGCTATATCATATTACGAGTACCCTTGAGTCACAGGGCATAATTGAGTTTCAAGGAAGGTCAGGCCTCTGCTATATCATATTCTGTGAATTTCAAGGACGGTCAGGCCTCTACGATATCATATTCTTCGGTGGGAGTGCCGGAGTACCCTTGGGTCACAGAGCATAAGTGAGTTTCAAGGACGCTCAGGCCTCTGCTATATCATATTCTTCGGTGGGAGTTCCGATGAAGCAAACGTATGTTTGCTATAGTAATCGGCAACGTTACTTATATTCGTATTAGGGTAGGGTTTCGAGACTACCAGTAAATCACTGTA